GGCCTACACGAGATGAGGCAGGATAAAGAGGGATAATCCCCCTCGATCCCAAATCATTGAGGCCAATTTCTAGCCATAGAATAATGGCGGCGACGGCCGGATTCTCGACCGTGGTGGCTTTTTGATTGTCCTCGAAAGTGAGGCGAAATTATGAATGGTTTCGCCTCCTTTCGTCCTTTCGGAAAATGTTTCGGCAGGCACGTCGGGGGGTACATGACGTCGGATTCGTCCTCGACGTGCTTCGGCATGGTAATGAAACATCCTGGGACGTTGCTGATTACATTTTGGGAGTTTTTTGAATTCTGGAATTCGATCGTACCTAGTACGAAATACGACGATACGACTTCACTCGCGAAAAAAAGCCTATTCCTATTATCACTTCTCAGTTCGTCAGTTGTCAATGTTATGTTATCTTGTCAATCTTGTCATTCAGCAGAGACAACTCTGCATTTAGTTCCATATTCCATAAGATTTTGTGTATGTATTCGGAAAATAGTGGATTAATTTTTTACTTAAATTAAGAAATTATTTGCAGTTAATTATTTTATTGACAAATAAATTTTGGTATTATAGATATATATAATAATAATAATAGTAATAATTAAATAATAACTTAAGCCTCCGAAAATGGAATCTGAAGTAGATAAAAGTCAATATGTGCTACCAAATGATCAACCTGTAGTCACTTTAGAAGCAACATCAGCCTTTAATAGTCTCACATCAAAGGAACGACTTTATGCTCATCACATTAGTCAAGCATCTTGGAAAGGTGGTCTTATAACCTTACTTCAAACCAGTCCAGAATCTGGCCCCACATTTATTTTATTTCATAAGCTATTTTCTGCAGAAAGTCCAGAAGAATTTAAGGCATTAGCTCTTAAATCTGGATTTACTGAAGATGAAGTCAAAGCACTTTTTGTGTATACAAGTGGAGTATTTTGCAATGCAGGAGATTATAAGGTATAAAAATTACATTAACCCTGATTTGTTTCGGCAATAGTAAGTACCATTAATATTGTCCCGTTACCCATTACATATTATTGTTACATCCTTTGAAATATGTTAATTAATCTGCTGGACATTTCTGATTCCTTAATAGTATATTAAGCATTAAGAACGGTAAGGGCAATTTACCGCCCGAAGACAATGTTTGGAGGCTGAGCGAAGCGAAGCCTCCAGTTTTGTCTGAGAACGGTATAACTCTTAACGTTCGTGATATACTATTTTTTGCACGATCGCAATAAATGAAAAGAAATTATATATACGTAGCATTTAATTTTTTATGTAACGTCAAAAATGACGTTTCTGAATAAATTTGCGAAGCAGGTTTTTTGAAATCTACTGATGTTTATTGTCACGGCTTTCTTAATTGACGAAATTGACAATTCTAGAATAGAATAGAAATTGAAAAAGCATGTACTGCTCCAATTTCTGTAAGCAATTGTACAAACTGTACATTTAATTTCAACATTAATAAATTGATTTAAAATACATCTTTCTTTTATATGAATTACCCACATTTAAAACTGAATTCTAGAAAACTCATTCCAAATCAATGCGATGTTGAAAATGTCTATTTTGACAGTTATTCACTTACCGTTCTAGAACGGTAAGTGAATTACTTACCGTTTTGTTAGCCTTAGCAACCAGTAAGCGCATCCTACTGTCGTAGAAACAAACATGGTAAGTGAACTAAAAAAGCTTGATCGTGCAAAAAAGTAAGTAATTGATCCAGCACAGAGGAGATTTGTTAGCATTCAGCTAATTGACAGTAATATTTTTAAATAACTTCATTATTGCTAAGAAGTAAATTATGAATTATTGAAGTTTTGTTCATTTAGAAAAGGTTTTACCGAGGGTTTTATATACAGGGTATCCACAAATTTCACCGACAACGTTTGACGATTCATGATGATAAATATGATCTACGAAAAAAAAGTTAAATAAAAAATTTTTAGTTTTTAAGTTACAAGTCTTGTAAAGTTGTCAAAAATAAAACTAATTTAATTAATAACTTCATAACCCTTTTACCGACCACGTTAAAATTTTGCACATTTATTTGGACTATTATGACATATTTCTTAAAACTTTAGTCAGATCAATATACTGGGTGATAATTTTCTCCGGTTAACTCTCCCTTTTAGCTGTCAAAACTTTTTANAAAAACATTACAATATACATGTTTAGCTGTCAAAACTTTTTACAATGGTCATATTTTTTAAAAAATTTACAACTCCGTTTCTTGTAAAACAAGATTTGTCGGTACAAAAAAATTTTATTATCTTCTGCGAAGCCATTCAGCAATCAGCGGCAAAATTGTAAACATGCGTTAGGATTTAAATTTTCAAGTTCTTGAGCAGGAGTTAAATGAAGTAGCCGAAGAAGTTGCTTTTTAAAGTTTTGTGAACATTAGTTTTAATACATTTAATTGTCTTGATACACTGCAGACACTTCATAATTTGCATGTGTGGAGTGATGAGAATCCTAAAGAAACATGACAATAATGACATTACCTGATAGCCACAGCAATCAACATCTTGTTTTCATCGCCTACTGAACTCAAAGTTTTAAATTCGTGACACTGCTACGCAAACCGAAATGTACAGCCCTGCAAATATTGCCATCTTTCTTAAAGCTTTCTGAAGGCGATTTTCTCAAGGGACAATATTTTTTTTTAAATAAAATGACCTTTTCGATGTTGCTGCCCGTTTTAAAAAAATGCGACCACTAAAAATTTTAACTGCCAAAAGGGAAGTAACTGGAAAAAACTATCACCCAGTATATCGATTTGACTAAAGCTCTAAGAAATAATACGCCATAATAGTTCTAATAAATGTGCCAAATTTTAACACAATCAGTAACAGGGTTATGAAATTATTAATTAAATTAGTTTTATTTTTGACAACATTGAAGGCCTGTAACTCAAAAACCAAAAAGTTTTTATTTAACTTTTTTTTCGTAGATCGTATTTATTTATCGTCGTGAATATGCAGTCAAACGTTGTCGTTGCGGACACCCTGTATATACCTGTCAAGTGTTTTTATTAAATTCATTTTCATTGACAAGTTTTACCTATATTATTTCTGCAGTTCTGCAGTTTTGAATGACAGCAGTTTTCTTGCTTTCAACTATCATTTCCCCTTCACTGCCCATACTCTCCAACCACATAGTTCTATTCATATTGTTATTTGATTTAAAGACACATCAGAAAAAACATTCTTGAAATGAACCTTGCCTCAAAAAACAAAATAAAATATTGAACTAGGTAGGTATTCATAAATATATTTGATTTTTCTCATTAATGTCTGTCTCTAATGGTATAATCAATATTAGATAGCGAGTTAGATGGGGAAATCCACATTTAAACTATACAGGGTGGGCCACCAGTAACGCCTCGGTCGCTAGTGACCAAACGGCAAATGTTATAGAAACCTGTTTAGGTGGGTATGTGTAGGTTGATTACGGCTACATTTTAAAAATATTTTGAAATATATAAGGTGTCCAGGAAAAGCGTACCATATCAAAGTTATGTATTTTTAAATGGAACACCCTGTATTTTACTGCATTTTTGAAAGCACCGTAAAAAAATAGGTGAACTTTATTAAAGGTTCTGCATACCTAGGACTTACAGTTTGTGAGATATTTCAATTTTAGTGAAAATGCAGGCATAGCGTAGAAATTTAATATTAGCAATAAAAAAATAATTTTAAGGAAGCAGCTTTGGAGGGTCTATTTTAGATCCTTGAAGTTATAAATTGTTATATTTGTCGTCACTTAGTATTATACAGGGTGTTCAAAAAACTGCTGAATACTGTAAACAGTAATAACTTGGTTATTTTAAATGAGACACCCAGTATATTTTTACTTTGGGAGTTAGGAAATTAAAAACTCTTTCAAACTGTGTATAGGTTCCCTATACCTATCTCTAACGATATTGGAGATATTTGTGCCGTTTCGTTTCTTTATCGATTTTTTTTGTAAGATGTATCCATGTGTCTTTATCGAGGTCTTTATTGAATTGAAAATTTAGTAATAAATGGATAAGTAAGAATGGTATATGTCATGCGGGAATGACTGTTTTCGATTAAAATTATCCACTATAAGGAACTGTTGAAAATTTGAATATTTATGGTCAAAGTCAAGCAGCAGCTAGTCAAAAACAAGTAAAAAATTAATTTTCAATAATTTTTTTGTTCAGAAATATATTAGTTCATAAAAATAAGATTATTTTATATTTAGTGATTTTAGAATATCTTTTTCTCATACCTCGGTTGAAAATACGTAGTTTCGTCCCTAACAGCAGGGACGAAAGTTTAACATTTACTCCCTGTGTGAAGTCCCTGCTATTAGGGACGAAAGTATGTACTTTCAACCGAGGTATGAAGAAAAATCGTATACACTACACGGGCCAAAAGTTGAAATCTTCAACTTTCGGCCCTTGTGGTGTAATATATTATTTATCGGATTCGTAGTAAGTTGATCTCAAAACAAAGAAATTCTATTAAATGATCGCAAACCAATGCAGTGACTGTACTTGATTTTCCATTTTTTCTTTTTTGCTCATTTTACAATATGTAATCTCGTTATACATTATTATATTTGTTCATACGCGTCATTCATAAATGTATACAAAGCATGTCATGAAGGCTACACATTATAACAGCGTTTATAATAATAATAATAACAACATTAGAAGTATTGCTAATTAAAATACAAATCTAATAATTGCTATGCTTCAGATTTTTGACCAGAGCATTTATTCTATTTATTTTTTTCAACCTACAGTTATATCAAAACTATTGATTCAGTTATTTTTTATATAGTTTTTTTTTTATCATAAGTTACATAAAAATCTTATTGTGTTTTATTCTTTGATTACATTTTGCCAACATAATAGTTGTTTATTTCAAATGAGACACTATATTTTCTTGTTGAAATACAGTAGAATCTCCATAATCCGGCACCAAGTCCAGTAATTGGGCGTTATTTTTTCCGCGTTTGTCTACTATCCTTGAAGAATACAGTTTATACAGTTATAGTTTAGTTGAAAGATTATTTTACAGAAACAAAAACATTACAATATACATGTACACTGCCGGCCCTTTGAAAGTGGACGATTTATTTTTCTAATGTGATGTGGTCTACTTTTTATTATGACAAGTTTTTATATGTCAGTATCATTAGTAATTTGCTTGGTAATTCAAAATACCGTGTTTAACGGAACCAGAGAAAGTGAGAGCTATAACTTTACTTCAGAATGATTGGTCATTGCGGATGATCTGCATGTATGCAAGAACAGCATATTTAAACTCAAAGAAAAATGGATTGCAGAGGGTCACATACGTTATGTTCAAGGAGGTGGGCGTCGAAAAGTAAGCACCACCTAAGAATAAATCCTGTTGACATGGCAGTAGCAGCTTCCTTCGAGACGAATTTTGACTTTTTGAGACGAAAGATTCGGATCTGAAGAATTATGTGGCCGCAAATATAGTTGCTTTGACTCCCCAGTATAAAGAACAGAAGTTAGAGTTTGCAAGACAATTTGTAGGAAGCCCAAACAACTTCTGGGAGAATATTATATTTTCAGACGAAAAAGTTTTCAGTCTTGCTCCGATGGTTCTGTCCTTGTCTACCCGCCAGAGATTATAAGGTATTCGCAGCCTTATCTAAAACCCACACAGCGCAGCGATGGATTCTCCATTAACGTTTGGGCTTGGATAAGCTGCCAAAGTCCTGATGTTTGTTGTGACTATGCTGTATCCTCAGAATTTCACTTTCAAGCAGTATAATTGTCGTCAGAATGGTTCATTGATAACAACATCGATGTTTTACCTTGACCCTCAAAGTCCTGGGGATATATGGTGAAAAAAATTTACGGCAGAAACTTCAGTCCAGTTAACGTCGAAGTACTTTGGGAGACAATTGAAAACGCACGGGATAACATCACTGAGGATTATAACAAGAACATTAATTTTATCAATGCTATGTAGATTGCAGTGTTATAGACAAAAATGGTGCTTGGACAAAATACTAACTTTACGAATCGCTTTTTTTATGCACTATTCTACATTTACAGAGTGTCCGAATATTCCGTGTTCATGGGACTACCATGGATTCTTCGGGTCAAAATGAGAAGGTAGAACTACAATGTCTCAATCCAAAATTGTAATATTTAACCCCTAGAGAGTGTCAAAGGCGACAGAAACTTTTTTCAAATATTAAACAGTGTTTTTTATTTAAATGGAACGTAATGTAAATATAGATATCACTTTCGACATAGTAACCAAAGTAAGTAATTACTGCTGTGGGGGCAAATACCCTCATATCAAATGTGTTTAATTTTAAACTCATAATTCTTAAATTAGCACTAAATTAGGCAAATTTCATGAGAAATTTTTATCCAAATTGCAGAATGAGGAATTAATACTATATTTTCTTTACATTATTACAAATTTATCAGATTTTTACATCTAATTAAATCAGATTTATAAAATATATTGATGAATAATAAAATAAAACTTTGGTTGACAGTATGTTGGATTAAGCAACACTGACCCCAATAATGTACAGTTAGTTCCATATGCAAGAAATATTGGGTCACTCATTATACAATAACGAATAAAAAAAATATAAATATGTGGAAAACCAATTTTTTATTTGATGAAGATAAGATTTAATGCAAAAATTTCATGACATCCTGCCCTCTGCGTACAGTTTTAACTATAATATAATTATATGCCAAAAAAAAATCCTACCCAGCAATGCTTTAAAAATTCTGATAAAATTTGGATGGTTACGTTATATTTTTATCAAAAATTCCTCTTATTATGACCTCAAAACATAGCTCGTCCTTCTGAAGACATCCTTTTTGTTAGAAATATTCACTGGAATTAAAAACACATTCATTTTGCAAAATACTCAGTGACATTAAAATTCTAATGTACCTTAGTAAAAATTTACATCTTAAAAGACTATTACGTTTTACTACAAACACTTGACTCACCCTAATTCTTATAATAAACCCTTTACCTAAATGGCAAAATATAAATACTGGAATCTGACATGAGTAATACGTGGAAATATTTCAGATCTAGATGTAATTAATCTTTGCAGTGGTACTGAAATCATCATATGGGTATTGAGTATCTAATCAATTTTACAAATAATGTATTATTGTATTTTAGGGTTTTGGAGATACTAAATTTATTCCCAATATAGAACAAAACCGTTTGGAAGAACTTTTGAAATTGAGTAAAATCTGGGATCAATTAGAACCACTATGGGTTGAATTAAAAGAAGTTTTATATGATCTAAGACCTGGAAAAACATGCTTGGGATATAATCCTGAGGGTTGCACAACTTATTTGTCAAAAAATTGTATTCCAGAGGACAATGGCAAAGTACAAAACTGGTTGAAATCCCAGGGAATGGATTGTTACAACACAAGGTTGTTTAAAACTGAAGATAATGGAAAGGTATAGTCATATATATCTAAATTCATATCAAATAAAATGTGTACATTTAGTTTTTAGTATTTAAAACAAGCAATTTTGCAAAATATTAATTTGAAAATATAACAATATTCTACTGTTTTCGTACAAAGCCTTCATAAATGTTTACAAGCCATGTGACCACCGAGCTTAGCAATCCAACATTGCACGATTGGTACTGGTAACGAAAAATCCCTAAATCTTAGCATCACCAATATTAATGATTTGTTTACAATGACCAATGACAAACTGTTACGCATACGCTTGAGATAATACGATCGCCGATTGGTTGAATAGAATCTCGTACAATTACACCAATGACAGAATAATGTGTTTTAATGTAACCTTCATCTCATTGTTTTAATTTTACCTAAATTTAATTGCCAACTTGAGGGGAATAAAATTACTGTTCCAAACAAAATTACTAGTCATGTGGCTTGTAATCATTTATGAAGACTCTGTAGTACTGCTTCAAGAAATTAACGCACTATGTATTATTTTGGGGAATATTTAAAAAATATAAGGTCTGTCTAAAAAGTATCCGACCTTTGGCTGGAAAAAATATATATATTTTTATATGACGGGATTGGAATTTTAATCCTCTTCAAAGAAGGCCCCTTGCGCCTCCACACAGCCCAGCGTTCCTTCCACTGCCGAAAACAGTTCAGGAAGGCTTCTTTTGGAATGGTGTTCAACTTTGCCGTCTCGTTCTGCATTATCTCTTCTCTACTCTGAAAACAAGATTCTTTCAATGGCATCTTCAATTTCAGAAACAACCAGAAATCACAAGGAGCCATGTCTGGAGAGTAGGGAGGTTGGCGAACAATAAGAATTCCATGCCAAGAAAGTCTGTATCAGGTGCGATAAATGAGCTGGAGCATTGTCGTGATGGAACTGCCAGTTTTTCGCTATTCAGAGGTCTAGTCTTTTGCCCCGAACTGCATCACGGAGTCGGCGTAAAACTTCTTGATAGTATTCTTTTGTCACTGTTTGTACTTCCGGTGCGTATTCATGATGCACATTTCCTCAAATATCAAAGAACATCACCTTCATTTTGCTTCTCACCTGTCGCGCTTTTTTCGGCCTTAGGGACCCGGGATGCTTCCATTAAGACAACTGCGCTTTTGTTTCCGGGTTGTACACCCATGACTCATCTCCAGTTATCACGGTTTTCAGAAACTCGGGTTCAGTGTTAGTAGTATCCAGCAAGTGTAGTATCCAGCAAGTCCAGTGCAACTGCAAGACGAAGTTCTTTCTGTTCCACCAACAAAAGCTTGTGCACAAATTTCGCAGCCACTCTGCATATGTTCAAATAATTACGCACAATTGCATGTGCAAAATCTTTACTGATCCCAACTTCTTCGCAATCTCTAGTACGGTCAAATGACAATCTCTTATTGTTACATTTTTTTACCCTTTTTATTCATCTAGTTTTCATACAAATTTTGTTTCCAAATGTTTTATTTCATAGTTTTCGGTGATAGAGTATCTATACTTGTTTTGTATAACAAGTAAATATTAACTTTTTATGTGACATTTCATTATGTCTAAAATTAATGAAAATCAATTACAGCAAGACCCCGCTTAACGCTGTGTCGTTTAGCACTGTTTCGGTTTAGCGCTCTTTTATTTCAACCCGGGGAATCCCCAAAATTGCTCGCAGCACTACGGGTATTCCCCGAAATTGTGCGCAGCGCTAGGTTTACAAATATGTACATAACCTATCCGAAACACTGTAGTTGTGTTTCTTGTTTGGTGCGGTGCTGTACGGACACATTTTTATCAGTTGAAACATTTGTTGGCATTATTGTAAGTATAAATTTATATAATACTATATACTATAACCATTAATACAGTGACAAATATTATGATCTTTAGTTTTTATCATGGGTGATAATGAAAAACAAGAAAAGAAAGCAACCAGAAAAAGCATTTCACTGGAAACTAAAATGCAAGTGATTAGAAGATTAGATTCTGGTGAATGTCAATCTCAAATTAGTGCTGCATTGAATTTGGCAACTTCAACAATAAGGGCAATTCTTAAGAATAAAGAAAAAATACTGTCATCGGCAACTGCAACTACATCAAGCTCTGCAACTAGAATTACCCGTTCTAGAAATAACATTATAGAGGAAATGGAAAAACGACTGTCTATATGGATTGACGACGAAATTGAACGCAATATGCCATTAAGCCAATCTATCATAATGGAAAAGGCTAGAAGAATTTTTAATTACATTCAGGCTGAGGCAAGTGACACAAGTGAAACTTTCGTTGCTAGTCGAGGATGGTTTAATAGATTTAAACATCGAAATAATCTTCACAACATAAAGATTACAGGAGAAGCAGCAAGTGGTGATACGAAAGCGGCGGCTGAATTCCCAGCGACATTAAAAACAATAATTGAACGAGGAAACTATCCTCCAGAATTGGTTTTTAATGTTCATGAAACAGGCCTGTTTTGGAAAAGAATGCCAAAACGAACATTTCTATCTCGTGAAGAGAAACGAGCACCAGGATTTAAAGCTGCAAAAGATCACTTAACACTTCTACTGGGTGGTAACGCAAACGGAGATTTCAGATTAAAACCACTACTAGTTTACCACTCCAAAAACCCAAGAGCGATGAAAGGCATATCTAAATCAACTTTACCTGTACTTTGGGAGTCTAATAAAAAATCATGGATAACTATGAAAATTTTCCAATTTTGCCCGTCTGTTAAACGTTATTGCGAAATTAAAAAACTTGAACCAAGAGCACTACTATTAATTGATAATGCTCAAAGCCACCCAACAAATTTATTGGACTTCACAACATGCATTCCAGTCGAAGTGGTTTTCTTGCCGCCTAACACAACTGCCTTAATCCAACCAATGGACCAAGACGTTATATCCAATTTTAGGCTTATTACTTGCGGCGAACATTTAAGCAAATGTTTGAAAAAACAGACGGAGAAGAGAAGCAATCAATAAGAGAATTTTGGAAAAACTACAATATCATGAATGCTGTAGAAAACATAAACCTTTCTTGGAATGAGATAACAGAAAGATCTTTGAAAGGAGTATGGAAGAACATTTGGCCAGATTTAAGTAAGAGCAAAGACATTGGACACTCTGCCGATATGGATGAAATAGTGGAAGAAATAGTGGAATTAGCGAAACAAACCGGTTTAGATGAGGTAAATGTGGAAGACGTCGAAGAAATAGTTCAAGAAACAGCAGCTAGTCTTTCTAATAATGAGCTCAAGGAATTAACTGAGCAAGAAGAAAACAAAAATATTGATAGTAGTGATTTCGAAGAAGAGCAAAAAGAACTTTCGATGGCGTTTGTAAAAAGGAGTTTGACCACTAAACTGAAATTATACCAATTTGTTGAAAATGATCCAAATTTTGACAGGAGTTCAAAAGCAAGACGGGGTGTTATAGATGCTTTATCCACTTGTCAACAACTTCTAACAGAATGCAAAAGGAAAACGCAGACTACATTAGATGCCTTCTTGACAAAAAGGCAGAAAATTGGAAACACAGAATAGACTGAATGATCTGACTGACTTAGAATTTTATTTGTTTTTATAAGTAATATTCGTTTATATTGTTTTTATTTTTGTAAGAAATAAATGTTTGGTTTTATTTTTATTAAAAAAAAAACAATTATTAAATTTAATACCTAATCAATTTTCTATCCATCTTCCCCTAACCCCATTATTTACATGTTAAGATAGCCTCGTTTAGCACTGTTTCGCATTACGCCCTACTTTGATGGAACGTATCCTCCGCGTTAAGCGGGATATTACTGTATTTGCTTATAATTTAGCATACAATATACAGGGTGTTCTATTTAAATGCCCCTAGCTTAATGTCTTAAAAACCCAAAAAGATGGCTAAGTTCTTTAAAAACAGTTGTATAGTGAATATAAATGACTTCAAATTGGAGTATAAATTATATTTCCCTTGGGTATGGTACAGCAAACCAAAGTAGTTTTTTATCGATAATTTTGAAAACAATCACTAATTTCTGAGTAATTTCAACTTGAAGTTATAACTTTAAAATTAATTTTGAGTCCTATTTGTTTTTTCACATTAAGTTGAACTGATTAAAATGACAATAATACATATCAGCCAGCTTTTTGCTTGACCAGAAGTAATTCACTTTTTGAAAAATTCACATTTTTTTTATAAAATAGTATTTAATTTTTCTAACTAAAGAAAAGTTTTTTTATTTCAAAGTCATATTAACGTAGTAATTGGAAACATGTAGTTTTTTATTGTACAGTATAAAATTAACTGCTGACAAAAATTAAAAAAAAAAGACGTAGCAAATTATTATTAATTATTAACTTATATTTATTTAATTAAACGAGTCAATTTCTGTTTATGAATTTTTTTTTTGGGGTAACACCAGAAAAAATTAGTTAAATCTGAAGGCATGTAGGCGCCACTTTATCAGTTTACTATCTCTTGCAATTTGATATAATGATTTTTTATAATTGAGAAAAATTAAAAATTATGTTCTACTAAAAATGAATCAAAGAATCAAAAAACAAATAATTTCCTGGCGAACAAGATAGGTACTGAATAAAATAATTTGTATTAAGTATAGTTTTAACCAGCCATATTTAATTAATTTAATATGACAAAGTTCTGATAGCTGAACATAAATTTTTATAAAGTTATAACTTTTGTTTTTTAAAAATAATGAAATTGAGTTTTTCTTTTGAATTACTTTCCAACGTATGATCCAAGATCTCTAATAAATAATCAAGTAATTTTTTCAGATCACATATGAAATAAGACTCGCAGCTGAAGAAAAAAGGGAAGTGAAAAAAGCAACTGATGGAAATATCACATATGTAATTACCAGTGGTGACTATTCTCCAATTATGGGAGAAGTTGCTACCCATTTAGAAAATGCTATTGAATTTGCAGCTAATGAAAATGAAGCGAATATGCTAACTAGTTATGTATCATCATTTAGAACGGGGTCTTTAGATGATCATAAATCTGGTTCTCGTTACTGGATTCGGGATATGGGACCTGTAATAGAAACTTACATTGGTTTCATAGAAACTTATAGAGACCCTGCTGGTGTTAGAGGCGAATTTGAAGGATTTGTTGCAGCTGTTAATAAAGAAATGTCTGCCAAGTTTACGACACTTGTCTCTAATGCTGAAAATTTTTTAAAATTGTTACCTTGGAATAAAGGTTTTGAAAAGGATAAGTTTCTGAAACCTGATTTTACTTCATTAGACGTTCTTACATTTGCTGGCAGTGGAATACCTGCTGGCATAAATATACCAAATTGTAAGTTATATAGCCTTATTTGAATATAAAAATATGGATTCTAAGAGATAAATCTAAGATCCTAATAATCAGATTAATATGAGCACAGTTTCCAAAAACCCATATTGTAAATAAAAAGTTTCACCTCAAATTTACAACATGATTTATATTATCAAAATTGTGCAAAGTATTGTGGTAAACACATATCACACAGCAGTATATAAAATTAATTAAAAATCACGTTTTACAATGTAATTAAACTTGCAATAGTTGTTGCTAACAAGAATCCGCACACCGACTTCTGTCATTTACAATAATTGGAAAAGGATGCCAGGGGCCGCAAAGCAAATTAGATGCGAGGCCTTGATAATCCAGATAATTCAGTTAATTTTTATAATGTAATGCTATAAGCAAACAATATACATATAATATACATATATATACAGTGTGTCCCACTAGTTTGGGAAAGTCCAATATCTATGTTAAAATGAGGAATATATGGATTTTTTTTTACTGTGTTGCCACATTTCTCGGAATGTACAAATTAAAAATATATTAAATTATACAGGGTGTTCTACTTTTCCTGGCCAGACATCAACTTCAGTTTTTTAAATGGAAGCACACATTTTTTATATTTTTTTCGGATTCTACATCAAAAATAAAGGGTACTTTGTATAGAATAGTTCTATTCAAATATTCACAGTTTTTGAGATATCTCGCTTGAAAGGTTTTTCTAGTCGATATTGGCTGCTTACATTTTTTGATACTGACAGGTTACACTAATAGCTACTAAGCCCATTTTTTTATCAGATGTTTAGTAAGGATGACTCTTTCGAATCATGCTCCAAAAACTGGCCTGCGTTATACAGAGTGACCAAAATATGCCAAAATTGCCAATTGAAAAATTGAAAAATCTCGATTTTTTTAATGCAACACCCTGTATATTTTCATACTGTGAGATGCATAATTAAATTCTCTACAACTTTGCTATACCTGCTCCTATACCAAAATTCATTAGTTTTTCATGAAATCTCATTTCTATGAAAAAATGCGAAGTTTACAAATAGCTTATATGTAAAATAACGTAGTAGGCTCCTGTCAAAGGATAATCTGGAAAATTTTCGATTCACATAAGGTTTAATAGAAAAGCGACAGTAATAATTGTGAAATGAATTACTCTTAAAGAAGAATTAGTAAATAAATAATAGAATAATTAGTAAAACTCATGGTAACTGTTTATTGATCAAGTATTTACCAAACTAATAATCCAGATTTACAAAGATATCCTCGTACAGTGTTTTGTAAAACTGAAGGAGAGGTTTGAAAGAACAACAAATGCAAATTATGAGAAGACAACAAGAACACACGCATGCAGTATCCAAAACAGTAAATTAACATTGTGCATTTCTAACAAAAGTAATAAAGACCTAGTTAAATTAGTAATTAACAGGTAACCGTTCAAAATGTCTGCCATTTTTCTCTAGACATTGAGCAATTCTACGACGAAAATTGCTTGACACATTTTGCAGCATTTCGGAGTTACGGTCAAAAAAGCATTTCTTATCTTTGCCCGTAAATCTTCTACATCTGTCGGAGGAGTTTCATACACCCTGTCTTTTATATAGCCCCATAAAAAAAAATCAAGACAAGACAGGTCTGGGGATCGGGGAGGCCATGGAATTGGACCGCCTCTTACCTATCCATTTATCTGGATACAAACCATTTAAGTATTCTTTAACCTGAAACAGTTTTTCTATGAATTTACATAACTTACATAATGAGAAAACTTACCGCCAGTATGGAATGTGCAGGGGCATCATCATGTTGGAACCACTGACTGTTTAAGTCATCCGGAGGAATATGTCCCTGCAATTGGAGCAAGTCGTTTTGTAAAAATTGCAAATACCCATTACCAGTTAAATTTCCTTCAAGAAAATGTGGTCCAATGACATATTCTCCGCATATTCCCATACAAACGTTGACTTTAAAGCGGTGTTGATAATCGTCTTGTCTTATTAATCTGGGATTATGATCGGCATAATGATGATAATTATGTCGATTCTCTCAACCAGTGTTGGCAAAGGATGATTCGTCAGTAAATAACACCTTTGAAAAAAAAATTTCATCTTGTAACTTTATAGTTGCCCACTCACAAAACTGTACTCGCTTCTGAAAATCTTGCTGTGTTAAGAATTGGTGATGCACAAAATGATAGGGGTGGAAGTTGTTTTTCTTTAACGTTCTATTAACCACACTTTTGGAAATACTTCTTCTTCTTCTCCTAGTGGTTGGTCCTAATAAGTCCCATAGCACCGCGGCCTAATTAGGCTTATTGTGCATCCCACTACTAGTCCTATTCAGCAAGTAGATTTGTCCTTTTTACAAAGTCCAAAAGCTTCCTTGCTGACACTTCTCTCAGTTCCTTGGGTTCCAAATAAGGTCTCCCAAGGAGCGCCATTCTGCTACGTGCAAATCCCGGGCACTCGCCCAGGATATGCAGAGAAGTTTCATCCGCTGATTCACATCCTCGGCAGACCGGACTGTCTACAAGCTTTAGCTTATGTAGATGTTTCCTAAAGTGACAGTGTCCCGTTATGAGTCCTGTCACTCTCCTGAGCCAGATTCTGTTTAAGCTCAGTAAATCGTTTGCTCTTTCCTTCGAAGGATACTCCATGAGCTCCTTAGAATGGCTATGTCATGGCCTTGAAGTCCAGTATTTCCTGTGCTCTGTCTCAGTCCATTTGCCCAGAGCCCGTCTGATCACACTGGGATGAGATGTGCCACAGAAGGGCTCCGGGCCAATGAACACTGTCTCGGATCCCTTCCTAGCAAGTTCATCCGCTTTCTCATTTCCACAAATGCCTTTGTGCCCTGGCACCCAACACAGTCTAACTGTATTGTTGGTGACCAGTTCAGTCAGCATTTGTAAACAATCCCACACCAAATTTTGAACTTATCTTGTGTGCACCTAAAGCTTTAAATTGCAGCTTGACTATCAGAGAATATATATATATGAGTTTACGTTTATAACCTCTACGTACATTCTCTGTCAGACATGCCATTATCGCGAAAATTTCTGCTTGGAATATGGTAGGGAACTCCCCCAGACTGTAGCTTGCACTCCATCTGGGTCTGAGTCCATATATTCCTGCACCCGTCCCTCTGGTCATTTTGGAGCCATCTGTAAACCATACTNAGTTTTTCATGAAATCTCATTTCTATGAAAAAATGCGAAGTTTACAAATAGCTTATATGTAAAATAACGTAGTAGGCTCCTGTCAAAGGATAATCTGGAAAATTTTCGATTCACATAAGGTTTAATAGAAAAGCGACAGTAATAATTGTGAAATGAATTACTCTTAAAGAAGAATTAGTAAATAAATAATAGAATAATTAGTAAAACTCATGGTAACTGTTTATTGTCAAGTATTTACCAAACTAATAATCCAGATTTACAAAGATATCCTCGTACAGTGTTTTGTAAAACTGAAGGAGAGGTTTGAAAGAACAACAAATGCAAATTATGAGAAGACAACAAGAACACACGCATGCAGTATCCAAAACAGTAAATTAACATTGTGCATTTCTAATAAAAGTAATAAAGACCTAGTTAAATTAGTAATTAACAGGTAACCGTTCAAAATGTCTGCCATTTTTCTCTAGACATTGAGCAATTCTATGACGAAAATTGCTTGACACATTTTGCAGCATTTCTGGAGTTACGGTCAAAAAAGCATTTCTTATCTTTGCCTGTAAATCTTCTACATCTGTCGGAGGAGTTTCATACACCCTGTCTTTTATATAGCCCCATAAAAAATAATCAAGACAAGACAGGTCTGGGGATCGGAGAGGCCATGGAATTGGACCGCCTCTTACCTATCCATTTATCTGGATACAAACCATTTAAGTATTCTTTAACCTGAAACAGTTTTTCTATGAATTTACATAACTTACATAATGAGAAAACTTACCGCCAGTATGGAATGTGCAGGGGCATCATCATGTTGGAACCACTGACTGTTTAAGTCATCCGGAGGAATATGTCCCTGCAATTGGAGCAAGTCGTTTTGTAAAAATTGCAAATACCCATTACCAGTTAAATTTCCTTCAAGAAAATGTGGTCCAATGACATATTCTCCGCATATTCCCATACAAACGTTGACTTTAAAGCGGTGTTGATAATCGTCTTGTCTTATTAATCTGGGATTATGATCGGCATAATGATGATAATTATGTCGATTCTCTCAACCAGTGTTGGCAAAGGATGATTCGTCAGTAAATAACACCTTTGAACAAAAAATTTCATCTTGTTGTAGCTTTATAGTTGCCCACTCACAAAACTGTACTCGCTTCTGAAAATCTTGCTGTGTTAAGAATTGGTGATGCACAAAATGATAGGGGTGGAAGTTGTTTTTCTTTAACGTTCTATTAACCACACTTTTGGAAATACTTCTTCTTCTTCTCCTAGTGGTTGGTCCTAATAAGTCCCATAGCACCGCGGCCTAATTAGGCTTATTGTGCATCCCACTACTAGTCCTATTCAGCAAGTAGATTTGTCCTTTTTACAAAGTCCAAAAGCTTCCTTGCTGACACTTCTCTCAGTTCCTTGGGTTCCAAATAAGGTCTCCCCAGGAGCGCCATTCTACTACGTGCAAATCCTGGGCACTCGCCCAGGATATGCAGAGAAGTTTCATCCTCCGATTCACATCCTCGGCAGACCGGACTGTCTACAAGCTTTAGCTTATGTAGATGTTTCCTAAAGTGACAGTGTCCCGTTATGAGTCCTGTCACTCTCCTGAGCCGGATTCTATTCAAGCTCAGTAACTCATTCGCTCTTCCATTCGAAGGATACTCCATAAGCTCCTTGGAATGGCTATGTCCTGGCCTTGAAGTCCAGTATTTCCTATGTTCTGTCTCTGTCCATTTGCCCAGAGCCCGCCTGACCACACTGGGAGATGTGCCACAGAAGGGCTCCGGGCCAATGAACACTGTCTCGGATCCCTTCCTCGCAAGTTCATCCG